AGGAGGCCATGCCATGTCTGCAACTCCCTAGTCTTCTAGCCTGGGTGCCCATAGACTCTGGTCTCATCACAGTTCTTTGGAGGCTGGCCTCAGGAGAAGGGACTGCCACATGCAAAGTTGTAAGCTGTTTTAGTTGTAATTCTAGGAAAAAGCAGACAGAACCTGTACTGCTTTCTTATCCTGTTGGTATCATTTTGCAGAGGGAAGGAGGACTCTGTCCCTGACCTTGTAACAGAACTCCTATAGCTTTGGTACCTTATGGCAGGGCCCACCATACATCCCCAGGGCTGTCAGGAACTGTGGTTACAGGGCAATAGCTTATGTTTTTGAGTGCTACTATGTTTGAGGCACTTTTCTGATAACTATATAAATATTAACTAATATAGTCATCACAATTATCCCTATGAGGTAGGTTAGATAATATACTTTGTGTGTGTGTGTGGAACTGGGGTTTGAACTCAGAGATTTGTGCTTGCAAAGCAGACATTCTACAGCTTTTTGCTCTGGTTATTTTTTGAAGGTGGGGTTTCATGAACTACTTGCCTGGGCTGGCCTTGAACTGCAATCCTATTGATCTCAGCCTCCCAAGTAGCTAGGTTTACAGGCGTGAGCCACCTCTGCCTGGCTATGTAGACTAGGCTGACCTTGAATGTGCTATGTAGCCTAGGCTACAAACCACCATCCTCCTGCCTCAGTGCGGGATTACAGATGTGTGCTACCACACTTTACTATTCTTTCTTTCTTCCTTCCTATTCTCTGCCTCTCTCTCTTTTTTCTTTCTTTCATTTTTTCACTTTGTATCTTTTCTCTCTCTTTAATAAGAATAGAAACTGAAGCTCAGAGAGGCTGAATAACTTGCCCAAGATCACACAGCTCATAAACAGCAAAGCCAAGATTCAAACCCAAGGTGGCAGGCCCCAGAGCCCATGCTTATCACATTATATAGTCTTTCAGGTAGTGGCTGCAGAACAGGGCCAGAGGAGAAGAAAAGGAACAAAATGGGGATCCCTGCAGGATATCTGATCACATAGCCAGCTGTACTTGCTCTGAATTCAGCACCAGTGAGAGATCACTCAAGGATTGTCAGAAACATCTACTTGAGAGGCTGGATGCCCATCAGCCACTAAGATCAAGAGGAGTGAAACATAGTGAGGCAGTCATAACTTAATCTTCATATCAGATTTATAGACTTGAGAAACATAGCATTCATCGATTTTCAATTTTATTTCCTTAAAATTTCCTTGAAGCAAGTGAAATCATGACTTCTGGTCTGTTCTTTCTCAGAGGTGACAGACACATCTATATTTAGACCAATGGTCATGTGTCTGTGGTGATGGATCATTGTGTGCCTCCAAAAATGGCCATGTATTAAAACAGCATCTGTGTCCTTAAGAGCAGACAAAGCATCAGCTTTATAGATCTGAAATACACATACTAGCAGGTCTGATACACAGATGTGCTTGTGAAACTGGCACTTGTGCTAGAAACATAGATGTCTATTTCAGCCAATGTCCAGGAACTCAGGTAGGTAAGCAGGGTCAGAGCCTGCCATATTACAAGCATCACTTCAGGCTTAACACACCAGAGTCCTTCAGACAGAAAACAGAAAACTGGGATTTTCTTTAACCCCATGTTCTCTTTCACCTCCCACATCTCATGTGTCACTGACCTCTATTGATTCTACCCTATTGCTAGCTTTCAAATCTGTCTCTTCTATCTCTGTTGTCGCTAATAGTTTGTATCCCTGACATTTTTTTTCACCTGGATTGGACAATAGCTTCCTAAATGCTTTGTTCCTTTCTCTACTTACCTTCACTGCCACCAAACTTATCTTTATAAGGCATGAAATGGTTTTCTTACTTGAAACAGTTGCAGTAGATCTCATTGCCTAGAGGTTAAAAATCTAACGTGCAAAGACTTAGGAGCTGGCCCATGCTTCTCTCTGGTGGTCCCATGTCCTTCACTGCCTCACTCCAGCCACACCAGACCTCCTGGGGATCCAGGAAGCCATGGACAACTTTCAGATCTGTGGCCTCTGTTATGAGTGCCTTCCTGTGCTCTGCCTGCCACCCCTCTCTTCACTCTTGTCCTTTGGGCTGTCTCCTAACTTCCCTTGGAGGTTGGCCTCATGTTCACCTTAAGGAGAAGGCTGGACAACTTCCAGACACCTTTCTCTCATACTGCATTGTGTAAAGGTCTGTCTGCCTGGGAGATGATGGGGTCCTAGAAGAAGCATTTACTCCTCATCACACTCAGTTCACCACAGACACTGTGCAGGATTTGCTGCATTGCAGATACACCCATCCACCCAGCCCTCCATCCATTCTTTCAACTGAGAAAAGAACCAAGGCCCCATTCTAGGTATTGAAAATATGCAATGAACAAGACATGAAGTCCATATTTCCATGATGATTATTTTCTTATGAGCTCATAGAAGTTTATCGTCAAATCTTATACCCTGTCTTCTAGGGAAGACAGACAATAAAGAAATAAATGAAATATATTAGGTGTGATGCTAGGCAGAGAAATAAAGTAGGGTCATGTGACACAATGCAAGGAAGATACTTTTGGATGGTCAGGGAAGGCCTCTCTGAGGGTATCCTGGAACTGAGGTCTGAGTGAATGGCTCCTGTGAAGATCAGAGGAACAGACAAGAACAGGCTAACTTTTAGAATAAGTACCTTGGTTACCTAAAGCCAGGGCAGGAACAGAGCACAGTGAAGAAAATGCCTCTAGGAAAGAAAGAACTGAACAGATAGTTCATAGCTAGTTTGGGGCCAAAAATAATTCATTCTTTAAGACATTCTAGGTACTTATTGGCAGCTGCTTATAGCAAAATAAAAAGGCCCTGTTGTTTGCAACTGATACACAGATGCACTGAGGAATGTAAGTGCTAAACACCCTCTCCTCACATCACTTGGAGTCAAACTATCTTTTTCAGGATGGCCTGTGAAGAGGCTGCCTCTTTATAATTCACTTGAGTTTCCATCATTCTGGGGTCTTCACTTAATAATCACAAGAATGCAAACACTTTCATTAGCTCTGAAATGTGCTTATTTTAACCTTTGCTACAGAAAAAGGCCCTTAAGTTACTGATCCTTCACTATTTTCTGGCTTAATATTTTTACCCCTTTTTCATGCTCTGTGAAAAACATGGTGCTGTGTCTGATATCCAGTACATTTTGTGTGTAGAGCAGGCCATATGCTCCTGTGTACACCTGGGCACTGGCCGGGAGTCAAGTCACAAGAGATTCTCCTAGTACAGTTGGCTCTTGTGGAAGGCCACTGTGTGGCCACACAAAGCTCGTGGTAAGTGTGCTGGGTGTGAACTGCTAAGAGGAGCTGCAGCCTGGAACAGCTGTGGTCATCTTTGGTTTGACTCAAAGTATTCCTTTGAAACCTGGAGTTGAATTCAAAAGACCCAAGAGAGTTTTGTTTCATAGAGAGGTGCTTCCTGCCACAGTGATGAGGTACAGGAGATACACACTTAAAATTTTTCCCAGTTGGTAGATGAGTACCATACAGGAGATCTGGTCTGATAAAAGCCTTCTGATTCTTGTGGTTATATTAACCAAGTAGCTTGCCATGTACTGGCATTAGAGCCTGCTGTAGCACAATGACCTACTTTTGTTTTTGTTTCCTTCTTCCTTCTATTGTGTGCCTGGTTATTCTTGTGGGAACTAACCATCTAGAAAAGTTATTCAATCATACACTATAGAAATTTAGAATTGAAAGGAATTTGGACCTTTAAACTTTTCATACAGGGAAGCTGAGGCCCAAAATGATGAGGTGTCTTGCTCAGGAGAAGTGTGGGTTGGTGTGAGAGCTGGATCTACCAGTCTGAGTTCCTGACCTCCAGGGTGGTTCTGTTCCCTCTGTCAGTAAAGGGAGGCAGCAAAGTTGTGACCTGATGGAAAAAATTAAGGCAATAGTCCATATTTAAAATATAAGAATATTTCTCTTTCTTTTCTCTTCCAAGTCTTGAGTCCACACTTCTGCAAGATGAGTGGTTAACATCAACAGGGGCTTCTGTCTTAAACAGATCGTGTACATTCCAGTTTACCTCAGTCCCCACTCCTCCCTATTGCCTCCCAAAATGGAGGATGACAGTTAGCTGGCATTTATGGTCAAAGTTGCACTACTGTATTTCTGGTAGTAGAAGTACCAGAAAGTACTCACATCTCTATTAAAAGTGGGCTATATTTCAGGAACAAGGAGATATTTTAAAAAGTAAAGTACTTCAGAGCCAAAAGAACCAGCTCAGGACAGTGTCAGGAAACAGATATTTGGCACATATAGGTACTAGAGGTTGTATCTGTCATTAAACTCTAGCACCATAAGAAGAAATTTGGGTACATCTTTTTACTGTGAGGGTGTGGTATACCTTTGACAAGCTTTGAAAGATTTTTGTAGCATGGAAGGGCGAAGAAAAGTAGAACAAAGAAAATGAAACCTTCTCTCCTCACCCCTAGACCAGAGCTATGAAGACCTGAGATCAGTTTTTTAGATACCAATTGAAGCTGTCTAACAGATTGTGCAGTAAGAATCTCTTTGTGACTTTGGGTGGAGTTTTCTTGAGTTTTTTTGGTATTATTTGTGGCAACGTGGCTACTGGGGAAGTCAGAACTGAGGGCTCCTCTCCGAAATCACAATAAAACTGCCTGAAGAAAATGCTCTAAACTACTCTAAGAAATAAAGTCCCAATAAGCAACACTCAAAATGTTCCATAATCATAGATCCTTGAATAAAAGTGTCATATTCTACCCACCCAAAACTAAAAAGTCCTACTTACAGGGTTATTTCTATTGGTGAGGGTATTTTCCTGATCTCTGCTTCTATCAACATTTCTTTTGCAAAGCCAGGAGGCTCTGTAAAGGTTAAAAATAATTCAGCTATATGGTGTTGAACACAATTGAAATGTCATGATCCATCCAGAGGGCAGGAGAACCAGCTCTCTCCTTTCCATTGGAGCAGTCTGTTTGCTTTTCTTCCTGTCACAGGACCGCTGAGGAATGCTTCCTCGGGCACAGCTATTTGTCACTGCCTTAGAAGCTGCTTGGCTGCAGGTGAGGAGCCCGCCCTTGTGGGAGGGGTGACTGTGGTCAGAGATCTGCCTGGGCTTTTGCTTGGCCTTGGTCTGTGACCAGGTCTGATGCAGGAAGTGCTGTTTCTGTAATTCATACCCATGATTTCTTGCATTCTAGAAGGGACACAGCCTCTGGTCCTGGTGAGAAGCTTTTGGAGATTTTGAAGCAGGCCTTTTCCCTGGCTGAAGGCAGCACTTGAAAGTGGAGTCTCTTATGGAAGGATTAGTAGAGGGAGGAGTCAGCCATTAGGACACCATGCACATAGCAATCCTCACCATGACCACCAACCTCCCTGCTGACTCATCTGCCCATAGCGTGATTAACCTGGAGGGGGACAAGCAGGTGTGTGATTCCTGGGGAGGATTCCCTCCTCTCCCATCCTCACTAATCCACTGGATGCTCCTTTTCCAAAGGATCTGGAAACCTGGAGATGTCAAGGTTGACTGGTGAAATATATCTTGGCCTTGGAAACCTTGTTAATTGAAAGATCCAATGAAGTATAGCTTGTGTCTGGGAGCAAGATTTCAGGGGTTTGGGATGCCCTTTGGCTTTCCAGGAGTCTTGTGGGTCCAGGATTACCTGGACTTCAGCACTAACAGTAACTGAGGTGCCCAGAGGAGAACCCCCCTCATTAACCTGGTCTCACCACGGTAGATTTGGGTAGATCAGGATGCTGCTGGATTGGCTCCGTCTGACTCTCCTCAGGGCGGGGATATTGAGAGCACTAGGAGAGGTGCCTTTTGTTCTGTACCTCACATATCACATGTGATAGGATAAGGGCCATTCCTGTGCTGGCCACATTAGAGCAACAGTTACTATTCCAGTCATGGCATACTAATGTAGATTCTAATATAAACATTGTTTTGCCCCCTTTTTATTTTTATAAGAAAAGCATTTGGCTTGTACATTATGTTAGACACATCAAACATTGTGTGTAGTTATATTTGGACGTGAATCCTAACTATGTTTTAATAATAAGTGGCATTTTTACTATGTGGATGGCACCACAGGTGTATCATTTTACATTATATACATAGCATTTAAAGTGTGTGTTAACTAAGATAATTACTGTTGCCTCATGTGACCTATATAGGATGTGCCATTTTAGTAGATGTGGCCATTCAACTCATGCAAAAAGGTCACCTTAATTTGCCTGTCAGAAACCATGGAAATCACATCCATTGACCACAAAGGACTGAGCTCTTATACCTCCTCCCCCTCCTTCCACCACCTCCTGACCCTTTGCAAGCAAGCATAATTCTGCATAGCAATGTCCCACCCATGAAAAGCCCCAGTATGTAGTGGGTTTGAGTCTTGTCTGATACCCTCCATAGCCCTGTAGCCCAGAAATAGGATGTGTTCCAGGGAACAGCCTAGACAAATGCCTGCTGACAGGGTGTAAGGATTCTCCTTTCTTTCTGACACAGTTCTGTGCCCTCTCAAGGATGAGGTTTTCTCACTCTGCAGCTCCCTCCACCCCCCAATTTGTAACTCTGTACCGTCCCTCTTTCTACTGGGACAGATGTCATGATCCAAGAAGATACAGGATGAGGCTTGCCCCAGGAGTTTCTGGCATCCTCACCAGTGAGCGACTCCACAAGAACTGGGTGTGGCCCCAGCAAGTGGGCACAGCAAGGGAGGAAAATATCCGGGGAGAAAGTGTCTCCCCTGAACACCAGCCTGAGAATTGTGGAGGGGTGCCTCCCAGTCTGCATTCTGCATGGAAATCTAATGTTCATCACAGCTGGAGACAATAGCCCCATCTTTGGGCATAGTCAAAGAAGTATGTAAGGAGTCCACAGGAAGTTGGTAAGAGACAATGGTGCTTCAGGTGAAACAGAAAGAGAGTCACACAGAATGGATTTGTCTCCTAAAGCACGGATGGCCATAATTGAATCCTCTCTTGTGCGTGTTCCCCTCTTCTAGTCTTTCAGGTTTGAGGAGAAGAGATGGCTCTGGCTTCCAAAAGTAGCCTTGTGGCTGCAGGAGAACTGACTCTGCCTAACCATTTTTATGTTTCCCATGTAAAATTTAACAGCGTCTTAAACAGAGCTTCTCTAAAGATCAAAGGTGCCCAGCTGAATGGGAATCTGTTTTGCAAATTTAATACTTTTTCCTTCAGCTCCCCCTCCCCACCAGTGGGCGAAATATTGTGCCACAGGGCCAAAGAATCCAGTTTAGGGAGGAACCTCCTTCACATTCCCAGCCAGACACTTTTTTCCTTCTTGTAACTTTCCAGTAGTCATTTAGGGAATAGGATTGGTAACTCTGACGCCTGGTGGTCAATTGAAAAAATGCACCCTGGAGGAATTGAATGTCCACTTTTATCATTTAAAATTTTAATTTTCTGCTTCCAATTGTAATGTATACATGACACATTTTATTATTAGTGATTATATTATTACTAGCTGAATTATTTATAAATAAAATTCTTGCAAATACATCTAACAGAATACACTTGGATGGAAGATTCTGGAAGGATGTACCAGAAACCATATGTGGTGATCCCAGGAAGCACAGCCAAGTGTGGACAGGAGGGGAACTTATGTTACTTTATACCTTGTAGTTCTTTCTGAAGTCTATTTTAAACAAAGGTAATGTGTTACTCCCATAATGATAGTAGGGGCCAGTAGGAGCAGGCCTGGAAGCCCAGGATAATCCCTTCCAGGGCCCATCCTCTTTTGGTTTCATGTCCTGGGGCCTGGATGTTTGCAGAGAGTGAAGTGCAACTAGACTCACTCTGATCTCATTCACTAATGGTGGTAGAAGAGCTTAGAGATGAGTAGAAAGGGGCACTGGGGAGTAGTGTGGGCAGAGGACCAAAGCCTAGGAGGTCCCTGTTTTCTTCAGGAGAGTGACCAAGACAACAGCACCCCCATCAGCATTGGTTCTTCGTGGTGGGCTGCTACTTCCCCAGGTTTTGTTCTATGAAGAGGCTCCAATGGAAGGCTCCTGGTCCTGTAAGTCCCTGGTGCTTCCAGGTGAGGACACCAGGAGCCAATCTCACCAGGTATGGCAAGCCAGATGCTCTGGGCTTCTGATGCAGAGAGCAGGGCTGGGGGTGAAGGTGGCCTGTGGTTGGTTGGCAGGAGAGCCAGGTCTCATGAAAACTGCCACCCTTTGACTGCCTTCTCTGTGCGTCTTGACTGTGATCCCAACTTTTTCCACTATTTAACAGACTTCTTGTCACTTTCCCACTATCACTCCCCCATTATAACCCTACTTTTATCCACTTTTCAAGTGTGTGCCCAGAAACAGCAACTTCTTCTTCTGCCTCCGCTTCTCCCCCCCCCAACCCCCATAGCCTAGAATCACTGTGTGGACCAGTGTGCTCACAGGAAGATGAAGACATTCCTGGGCAGAGCATCAGCAGGGCTCCCTTGTCCTGTTTGGGCCATAGTCGGAAGAAGCCCTGCCTACATACTTGTGGACAACAGTCCCTGAAGGCTGGGGCCACAGTGGAGGAGGGGAGAGCTCTTTCACAGCAGCAGTTCAGGGGCAGGAAAATCTTAAGCTGCTCAGCAATGATGGGCTCTCTCCTAGCTTTCCCAGAACTGGTGCCAGTGTCCATCTGTCTGACTCCAAACAGCCAAGCACCTGCCTAACTGCTGCGAGATGCTCTACCACCCCTCCCTGGAAGCCTGGCTTTCATCTTCCAGGATGATTGGGTGCCTCTCTTGCCTCCCCCTTCCTCCCTCTGCTGCTCAGATCAGAGTTCCAGCAGACATCATGTGACCTTGAGGATGATGTCACATGCTAGAACTGACGGAAGTAGGCTGAGACTCTGGTAACTTACAGAGATGCCACAACAGTGCCTGACTGTTTACTCCTGGTATTTACAAGTGAAGAGAATAAACCCTTACATATAACTGACTGGGTTTTCTATTGCATTCAGCCAAACATAGTTATAACAGATAACATGATCCTCTGTGGTATCTAAGTGTTTTCCTGTTCTTATCCACACTATGTCAAAGGGACAATTTTTTTTTTTCAATACTGGTGCTTGAACTCAGGGCCTACACCTTGAGCCACTCCACCAGTCCTTTTTTGTGAAGGGTTTTTTGAGATGGGATCTCACCAACTGTCTGGCCGGGTGGCTTGAAATCGTAATCCTCCTGATCTCTGCCTCCTCAGTAGCTAGGATTACAGGTTTGAGCCACCGGCACCTGGCTAAAAATATCTCTTAATAAAGAACAAAAATAACATAAATTGAATCTCTGGTGGGGCATTCCTTCTGGCAGAACTGTGTATAAAAACAGAGCCATTTGTGCTTTCTTTTTAGAATTACTGAATTTGAAGTCTTTCTCAGGGTGACTGTGGGTAAGGCTGGACTTTTATTAGCACATAGTTTCTTTTAACTCCTATTTAAATATGGTGACAGGTAAGGAGGGGCAGTAGGGACTCAGAGGGAGAGACGGCTGCTCTGCCTGCCTTGGTAAAATGCACATTTGGACTTTGCGCAGAGCCCTGGTTCTGAGCTGCAGAGTAGGAGTGGAGCTCTTGGTTCAATTACCCAACATTCCCTGATGGCAAAGGAGGGGGTGCCCTCGATTCATGTGACCACATCTTTCTTCATCATGGAATCATCTTTTTAAAGCAGCTTTACTAAGATATAACTGACATACAGTAAACTGCATGTATGTAAAGTAGGCAACTTGATAAGTTTTGCCAGATGTTTGTATCTGGGAAAGTATCTCCACAACCAGGAGTGGTCATACCCATCACCCCTAAAGTTTATTTAGGTCTCTTTGAGTCCATCACCCTCCTCCTGGCAACTCCTAAGCTGGTTGCCTTCTGTCACTATGAATTCATCTGATTTGCTTAAGTTTTATATAAATGAAATCATATGGTATGTACCTTCTTTTTTGGTCTGTTCTCTTTTATTCAATATAACTTCTTTGTTCATCCATTAGCAACATGTGGTGAACGTGTACCCGTTTATTATTGTTGAATAGTACTCCATCATTTGGATGTACCACATCTGTACAATTTGTTTATCTATGAATTTGGACATTTGAATCACTCCCAGGTTTTGATGATTGCAGCCTCTCTGAGCTTTTCTGTTCAGGCCTTTATGTTGCTCTTGGGAATATAAGTAGAAGTGGAATTGATCAATTGTATATTTTAAGTATTAATGATGTTTAATTTAGACTTATCTCTGATTCATTATACATCTTGAATGGAATATAATTTGATATCCAGTATGACTTTTATTCCTCTTTTTCCAGGGGGAGTTAATCACACTATAATAAAGTATCCACACATGGGGTGCTTGCTTGCCTTTCCCTATCTCTAGTTTGAGATCATAATGAAAAGGAATTTAATGTCTCCGTGAGCAAAAGTGTTTGCTTCTAAATATATACCTCTTCCTCATTTGTATGTACCTTCAATAAGTGATTCCTTCACTCAGTTATCATAGAAATTTTAAAATTTAAAATATCAATTTTTAATTGACACACAATAATATTTATCCATTTAAAGTATACACAATTCAGTGGGGCTTTTTTTTCATATTCACACAGTTGTACAGCCAATATCATGATCTAAGCTTAGAATATTTCACCCCAGAAGAAGCCACATATCATTAGCAGTCATTCCCTATCCCTTTCTCCAAACCCCCCAGCTCTGAGACACCAGCAAGGTGCTTTCTGATTCTATATATTTGCTTATTCTGTGCATATCATATAAGTGTAATGCTCTAGTACATAGCTCCTTGTGATTAACTTCTTTCACTTAGCATGATGTTTTCAATGTTCATCTCTGTGGTAGTATGTATCAGTCAGTACCTTTTAAAAATAACATTCATCTTCTTAGTTATGGGCTTTATTTTTTAGAGAAGTTTCAGGTTCACAGCAAAATTGAGTGGAAAGTATTGTTCTCAAATACACCTGGCATCCTACAACACTCTCCATTATCAACATCCTGTACCAGAGTGGTATATTTCATATCACTGACAAACATACGTTGACCCAACATCACCCAGGGTCCACAGTTCAATTAAGATTCCCTCATGGTGTTTTACATTCCCTGGGTTTAAAATGTATAATAACATGCACCACTATTACAGTATCATACAGAGTAATTTCACTGCCTTAGAAGTCCTCTACATTGTGGTTGACTTTTTAAAGATGCTTCTTGACTATTTTGCATTAGCATCAGCAGCGTATGAAAGTTCCAGTTCCTCCACATTCTTACCAACACTTGGGATGAAGAGTCTGATTTTAGCCATTGTAATAGGTGTGATGAGATCTCAGTGTGGTTTTAATTTGTATTTCCCTAATGCATCTTAGCTATTTGCCATTTGAATATCTTTTTCAGTAAAGTATATGAAATGTATGGTGGGAAAAATTTGTTAAAATCTTTTGCCCATTTAAAAAATTGTATTTTTTTCCTTGTTGTTAGTTTTGAGAGTTCTTTTATATAGTGTGGCTGTAAGTACTTTACCAGGTTATCTGCTTTGCAATGATTTTCTCTTGGTTTGAGTTGTTAGCAGTATCAGTTTTACTTGTATTTTTTGAGACAGAGTAGTCCAGGTTGACTTGGAACTCTGTTATATAATCCAGGCTGGCCTCCAACTCACTAAGTAGCCCAGATTGGCCTCAAACTCTCAATCCTCCTGCCTCAGTCTCCCTAGTGCTGGGTTATAGGCATGTACCACCATGCCAGCTTGTTTTAAATTTTGACAAAGTTCACTATATGTAATTTTTAAAAATGAGACTGAATAATGTTTTGGTGTCACGTCAAGTAGTCTTTGCCCCAAGGTCACAAAAATTTTCCCAGTTTTTGTTTAGCAGTCTTATAGTTTTAGGTTGTACATTGAGGCTTTTACTCCATTTTGAACTAATCCTTATATGTGGTCCAAGATATGGGTCAGAGTTCATATTTTGCATGTAATATCCAGTTGTTTTTCTGCTGTTGCTAAAATGGTTGTCCTTTCTCCACTGGATTTCTTGGCAGCTTTGTCAGAACTTTTTTTTTCATTTATGTGTGGATGATCTATTTCATATTTGTGTATTGTTTTTTTTCGGATGGTGCTAGGGACTGAACCCAGGATGTTACCCATGCTAGGCAAGTACTCTATTTCTGAGCTATGCCCCAGCCCAACTTCTCTACTCTAGTCCCTTAATCTATTTGGCTTTTTTGTACCAAACCACACTCTTTTAATTCCTGTAGCTTTTACATAGATCTGGAAGTCAGGCAGTGGAGTCTTCCAGCTTGTTCTTCAAAGTTGTTTTGGCTATGCTAAGTTCTTTGCATTCTCATATAAGTATTTAAATCAGCCTGTCAATTTCTATCGCAGAAATACTGAGATTTTCACTGGGATTGCATTGACTCTATTGCAAGATAGGGAGAATTGACATCTTAGTAATATTGAGCTTTCTGACCCCAAATCAATGTATATT